TTTTAAAAAAATTTATAAAATAAAAAAAATAATTTTAAAAAAATTTATAAAAATTTTTTGTTTTTAAATTTATAAAAAACAATAATTTTAAAAAATTTTATAAAAAAAATAATTTTAAAAAAATTTATAAAAAAGAATAATTTTAAAAAAATTTATAAAAAGCAATTAATAAAAAAATAAAAAAACTATTAATAGAAAAAAATAATTGATATTTTCGAAAAAAAATAAACTAATAAAAAACAACTTAATAAAATCAAATTAATCAATATAAAACTAAAAAAACTGTATAGAAAAAATTAATAAGTAGCAATTAATAATAAATAATTAAAAGAAAAACGAAATAAATAAAATTTAAATTAAAAAAATTATAGAAAAAAATTAATGTAACAAAAAAGTAATAATAAAAAATTACTAGAACTAGAAAATTTTATATTAGGTTTTAAATTTCTAAAATTTTATTTATAACCGTTAGAAAAATTTTATCAAAAGATATTTTTACTACCAATACAACCATAGAAAAAGAAATTTTCTTTTAAAAAATTTTAAGTTAGGCTTTAAATTTTTGAAATTTTATTTATCACCGTTTGAAAAATTATATCAAAAAATATTTTTGATACCAAAGAAGAAGAAATTTACTTCTAGAAAATTTTAGGTTAAGTTTTAAATTTTTGAATTTATATTTATAACCGTTTGAAAAATATTTAATAATATAAAATAAAATATTTTAACTATATTTGACATTTCTTTAAATTTTATTAATAACTGTTTAAAAGTTTTTCAAAGAAACAATTATTATTTTAACTATTTTTGACAAATTTTGCAATTTCTCCTATTTAGGAGAAATTCTAATTAAACAGTTTCTTTGAAGTAGTAACTTTAAACTTTATATTTTTGAAAACAAAATTTATAAAATCGAATAAAAATCATATAAAGCGTTTTAAATTAAAATATGTATACCTCAAAAACCGGTCTGTGCATTAATATTTATTATTTTTAGAGATCCCCCCGCAAACACTCTGTACACTTGCCTTGGATAAGTGACTACATTCCATTTGTTTGCGCTACATATTCACATTTATATATTTATTTATTCAATCATTCATATATATATATATATATTTAAATACTAAAGCAACGACTTATCAAAATTATTACAGCGCCTATACAGTAATGTAAAAAGTACATAGTAGGTTTATTAATTGCTTTAAGCGCACGCATATGCGCATGCGCACACATTACACCAAGACAATGTATGTTTATATTTTTATATATTAAACAAAATCGCTACTTCTGTATGCACAATCATAGTTTGTGATTTGCACACGCAATTTTAGTATACAGTTAAAAGCAGCGTAGCTTAACGCAAAAACAAACTTTTTATCGAGTATTTTCATAGAGTTGTGTTTCACTCATTTTCATATATATATTCTGCGCTAGTTTTCAGAATAAAAAATTACAGTTTACAGCGAAAGAAATATATATATATTTATATATAAATATATAATTCATTTTTAATTAGTTAGTTTCAAATTTGCTTGTGTGTTTATGTTGCTATCACACATACACACGCATAATAGGTGTATGCCATTCACAAAATAGTTGCATATAATATTTTATATATATGTATACAAGTTATTATTAAATATATATAATTAAATCATATCTTTTATGCCGTCAATACAGTTTTCAACTATCAAATCATTATCGCCTTATTATAGCAGTATGCCAACACGACGACGCACAAGTGTACTTATGCCAGACAAACTTGCAACATCTAGTTACCTAACTCAATTCGCGTAATTATATAGTATGTACTATCTGCTATAGTTGTTCTCGTTTTGTTTAACAATATTTAATAATAATTTTAATATAATTATATTTGTATTTTTTTTTATAGTAGATCCTATGTATCACTTTTCAAAAGCTTTTTAAACGCATTTGTTCGTCGCTCATAAAATTAGCTGCTCATCACTGGACGCTGGTTGTCACTTCCTCATGTTCTCTAACTCTCCCCGCGCTTTAAACGCATTCTTCTTCACCATACTCGGTCCATTGTTCGTCCAGCGATAGTTGTTGCTTGAATGGCGGTGGCGTACGTGCTGCACTGTTGAATAGAATCAGTTGCCAATATCAGTGATATAACTATATTGATATATTATTTTTGCCAAACAAATGCGCTCAAAAAAATGCAAATCAAATGCAGTTAAATAAATGCAATTTAATACAGAAAAAACGTAATGTAATTTTTTGTTAATGATATTGAAAATGTTTGTATGTGTGGGTTAGATTATAAGAAGAATATTTTTGTACAAACGTTTTTATGTTATGTAAATTTTAGTTTCTCTTATACCCAGTGCTTAAAGGCTCGCTAAAATTTGATGAATATATTTGGAGTTACGAGAAAAGTTTAGAGCACTAAGAGCTAGTATAAAACAAAATGCTATTAAATTTAATAAACATAAATTTAAATATTTTTAACTTTTTATGTACTTAAAATTTATTTAAAATAAAATGCAGTAATTTATAATTCTTATTACATGAAACCGTAAAAATAGAAATCCATAAACCAAAGTACGTTCCAAGCGCCTAAATATATGCAATGGGTATAAAAAATGCGTTCGTATTTGAATTAAGTGGTTATATACACTTGTATTTCAAAAAATTTAATTTTGTTTTTGCATATACACATAGCGAATGTACATATACATATATTGAGAATACTCGCCGAAAATTTGAAGCATATACGGCAAATCAAATAGTTTCGGAGATATGAGCGTATTTGTGGGAATTTTTTTTTTACTCAGTGTAATCGGCTCCAAAAATCCAGAACAAAGGCGGTAAGGAAAATTTCTTAGTAACGGTTGGAGATATAATTATTAGATTTAATTGTCAGATAATGATCGAAGAGCAAGTTTTTTGATAAAAGGTTTATTTCTAAGCCATTCACAAGTGTAAATTTTTTCACAATTTTTTTTTTTTTGGTTTGGAAAGCCGGCATTTTGTCAAACACAAAAATTTGACTAGCCGTTCGATTATTAGCTGACTTTAATTATTTTAATAATTTTAGTTTTTTTTTTTGGTTTTTGGATTAGCGATAAATTTGAGTAGGAAAATCATTCTCACCGCCCATAAACTTTTTTCGGAGGTCCTTCTGGTGATCGGCTACCGAATCGAGGGAATCCATAATTTTTCAAAATTAATTAACGATTATTAAACTACATTATATTCCGAAAATGTACATTATTTCTATTTATGGACCTTTAAAACAAATTCATAAAAAAAACGTTCTAACTTACAAGTGCATATAACCTCTCAAATTATATTATTCATTCTTATATGTTGATGTGTTTATAAACATTACATAAATGAGGCAAACAAAGCAAGCAAATTAATGAAAATTAATTAAAACAGTTGGTAGTAAATGTGTATGTTAATCAATTGCGAATTCTATGAACACATACTTTATATGAAGGTGCGTATGCAATAGCCAATTTCGCATTAGCTGTAAATTAGTACATGGTTCGAGTGACGAAAGAGGTTTACTTTTAGAGATTTTTACGGTTCTAAGAAATTTGCGTAAAAGACATTATGTTTAAAAAAAAAAAGAACGATTCGTTACAAAATAATTAGTGAAAGTACAAAGATAGTAAATTAATAGGGTACTAACTACAGCAGATAAGTACGAAGTGAGCGATTTTCATGTGCTGCGCCGCGAATCTATGCATGTATGATTGTATGTATGTGTATGTGTGTGAGTATGCAATGCATATTCTTACTGTCATTCTTACGACATACGAACTTGCGAGCGTTATGTTAATTCATGGCAACAATGACGACAATTAAATGCAGCAATAACAAGAACAACAGCAAATCGGAAACGCTGAAAATGAGGCGAAATGCTGACGCATATGATTGTTACAACGCCAAAGCAATATACAAAACTTGCACAAAGTGAATAACAACAACAATTAATGCAATGCAATAAGTAGCTAACTAATGCATGCCGTGGCATTAAGATGCGAATTGATTTGATTTGAATTACTCGCACGTTGACGTTCACAACAAATTGTTTGGCAAGTATGTGTAACGCCTAAAAGTATGCTGCAACTGCTTTCACACCCTCTCCTTCTCTCGAAATATATGTATATGCATATGTAAATCGCTCTCTGTATTGACGTTCTTAGTTTTCGAATTCGCTTCTTCGCTCGTTCGCTTGCTCGCTCGCTTATTCGGTTATTATTTGTTTGTTGTTAGCTTTGTTTTTCGTTGCGTTAATTTAGTATATTTTGCATTTAAATGTTACATTTGTAAGGCGTAGTTTTCCGCCAATACTTCACTCCCGCATTCCTTATGGTTTGGATATTTTCGTATATATTCTTTATTATTCGTTGCATGCACTTCAGACACACTAAACTCCTTGCATTTAGCACCCCACACTTCAATTGCTAAGTGGTTTAATTACCGCCGCTAATTGCTAAATCAATAGGTATAATTAGCGTTAAACGCTAAATCTTTGTTTCATGCGCGACGCCATCAATTTGCAAGGAGCCGGTGACTAATGATTTACATGTATTTTTCATTTTTCACTTGATGCTAATGCTGACTGATTTGGATGGAATTTTTGGTGGTAACAATGACAAATAGGAATAATAATTTGTTTTCTTTCTTTTTTATATTTGCAGTAGTTACGCTTAGAGATCGGTTATAAGCAAGCCTTCCGGTCATAACTGTCCACGACGATAGGGAGATCTAGATGGCCTAGTGGGTTAAGTGTTATGTGGTGGTTTTGCGTGGACGCAGTGTGGTTGATTGTTGGTTGGGAAATGTGTATTTGTTTAATAAATTTATTTGTGTTGATTTTTCGTAGTGGTGTGGTGAATAAATTAGAAGAAATCATAGTGTAAGTAAATAAGTAAATAAAAGCAAATCGAATTATATTGCAGTAAGCGTACAAAAAAGTATACGGAATCAGACATAGTACATATATATGTATGTTATGTGGTGCATGGAAGACTTAATTTGGAAAACAAAATTTTAGTTTAAAGAAGGCGCTATAGAAATATAAAATTGTTTTGAAAAAATTTATTTGCGTGAAATACATGCCTCTAATGTGCATGGTACGCAAGCATTTAAGTTTTTAGCACCAATTTAGCTGTTAAGACACCGCAACCGCCTGCTTTAATCTATTTTAGCCAATTATCATTTTAAAAACTGCAACCCAAAATGAACTTATATGATTTGCAGTATATTACCATTCACCGGGTCTAAGCTAAATTAATACTTTTCAATATAAAAAAATATGTTTACAATAAAAATGATGAGATATTATTAATATTGTGTACATAGAATGAGAGTAATTTTAATTTTTTTATATTTTTTGTTTTCCGTCACCAACTTATGCTTTTTTATACTCTTGCAACATGTTGCTACAGAGTAGTTTTAGATTTTTAATATATTCTTCTTTTTGTTTCCTTATAGTGGTTTTTTATATTTAAATATATACTAAAGTGCTAAAAAAAATTTCTTGTTCTAAAATAAGTATTGTAATAATAATAAATTATAATTTAAATATGCTTCATAGCAGCTTTAACAAAGAACTGAAAATTACTTTTCAAGTCTACGCTATTTTATTAGTTTTTACAACCAAATGTTGTTGAGTGCACACTATAATGCATATATTTATTGTTGTTATAATTTTTTTAAACCAGTGTACCTAATTTTAATGCAGTGCAGCTTCAATTGGAAAGTCTAACGCTCTCATTTTGATTACTAAATCTAATTCTCTTTCAATAGATTGTGTATGTTTGCTTTTATTGCGTTTTTACACTACTTTTCCTAATTCCTTATTGTGATAATTTGGCTTTAACCTTGCATTGGTGCGTATAAAGTTAACGGTAAGGCACGCTATACCTGGCTATCTGACACGAGTAACATTCCGAACGCATATGCATGTATGTGTGTACGTATGTATGTGGCTTCTACCTACAATAACTGCTAAGTATTATCATAAAATGTAGTTTACAGCATTTACAGTTGATCCAAATATTTTAAAATTACCTTAATAACCTCGCCTTAAGTATTCTAAACCTTGTGTGTCAACATATACAATACACATATACATTTTAGAATCAATACCTTACTCAGACACAGTGGTTAGTGGGTAATTAAAATAAAAGCAATAAAAATCATACAACTGCCTTACCTCTCGCACGGCATTTCGCCCATATTCTTGGCGAGCGCCAAACGTTTGGCTTCCTCTTTCTTGCGACGATCTTCGGCTGCCGCCTTCATGGGGTCGTACGTGGAGCGTCGCTTCCACATGGCCATTTCTGCCTCCTTTTGTTTGGTCACTGAAAAAAAGGCATGCATTAAAAATGTAATTAACCGCCGAAACAATTACATGCCGCACACGTTTCAAGCGAAACGCGTTTTGAATGCAAATGCAATGAGCGGCGTTGTGGCACTCACCCGACTGGTCTCTACGCACCGCTGATGAGGCCCGACCGCTCATTCCACCGCCACCACCACCGCCAAGCGTAGTGCCGCTTGTGGTCATGCACGATGCCACCGAGCGTACACTGCGATTGCTGGTGCGTGTCGGATCCGCACGACTCAGCCCCATCGATGAGCTACTCGGACTGCGTTTCATCATGTCGCCACTCAATGCTGACGTTTTCAGTGTGCTTTTGGAATCGTTCTTGCGTAGAAAATTATTGCCCTGCGCCGGCTTGTACTTCGATATGTCCAAATACTTCGGTTGCACCCGTTGATTTGTCAGCTTTGTTGTAGATGGCACAGCGGCGGCAGTTTGTAGTAATTGCTTCTTTGCCGAGGCCAACGAGTTGGGTACCTGTGATGCCAAACGACTGAGACTGGTGTCACGCGGCACTGACTGTCGCGTCGTTGTGGCGCCGCTGGAACGTGGCGCACTGCGTATGCCGCGCCGCGGTAATTCGGGCGTGTTCGGGCATGCCATAACGCCACAAGAGCCGACAGCTTGCTGTTGTTGTAATCTCGTCACAGGCGCAGAAGATGGCTTGCCCGTACCGGAACCGCCGCTTACGCGTTGCTTGCTACGTTCGATACGCATCAGTAGCGCTTTATTCAAACGCGTATTTGATAGCGGCACTGCTGCCGTGTTATCCACTTCCGCTTGCACATCATCATCGTGTTGGTGGTAGTAGTGGTCATTGTCGTCTTCCTCCTCTTCCTCGACTTCCTCAGCACCACTTGAATAATACTCTTCGCCCATGTCATCCTCATCATTTATATAATATTGGAAATTTTCGTCGTAATCACCGATGGCATGCCGGAAATTATTGCTGCTCGCCGATTTTTTGATAATGCTAGCATTTTTGTTTGCACGCGTCGCCGCGGACTGCCCATCACCGCCGCCAACCAGCGAATAATTGTGTCGCGCAGCCGGTGGTGTGTAAATGTTGGAGAATTGTGGACGCGCCGCACGTTGAGTTGTCGCTATTTTCGCCGAGAATGAACTGGAACGACGTAATGGCGACTCCTGACCGCTTTGCACAGCCTGCGCTTGCGCTTGTGCATTTGCCGCTGCTACTGCCGCGCGACGTGCTGGCGAATTGCTGATGTTGCCATCGAAGGAGTTCTTGCGCGCACGCATTTGCCGCGCCAAGTATTCACCGCTGGTGAGCAACTTCAATTGCTGCTCATTGAAGCTGCTCGTCATCAGCTGCAAATGCTGTGCATTGCGGCTATAGGGATCATTCGTAGCGACGCGCCGATGCAACGGTGAGTGATGGTAAGCGCTGCCGCTGGCCGCAGATGTGGGCGAGCCCAAGCCGTGCTGTGGACTGCCGCAGTCGTCTGGCGGCGAGTACAACGCCGAGGAATGAGCATGCGAGCGTGCCGAGTGCGCACGTGGCGACGCTGAAGAATGTGTAGTTGGCGGCGATTTTAGTGAATTCTTACGAGAAAGCGACTGCTGTAAATTGCTAATAGCAGCCGCTGTCTTCTGCAAATAAATATCCGCCTCTTCGTCGCCAACACCACCCTGTAACAACACATTCTGCAGTGGCGCACGCGTACGACTTGCACTGCGCGCACGACCAATTGAATGCAGCGGTGAGGGTATTTTCGAAGGACTCTTTGGAGGCTTGCAAATGCCCTCGGCCGGCTGTCCACCGCTGCTGTACGCGCCGCTCGACAACGTTGGATCGCTCGAATAGTCACATTCGCCCGACAAGCGATAACGCTCGGCAAGACTGCGATTCAGCTTGGCAGCGCTGATGCACTGTTTGCTATTGTAAATGCTATCGTCGGTGAGCGAATCAGCACCGGCCGCTGTATCGGAAGCGCACGTGTAGCTGCGCGTCATCAACGCTGTCTGCGACGCATCTGTGTGAATGCGAGTTTTTGACGTGTCTGAAGCGAGGCTGCGTGCCCGCGCATTGCGTGCCCACTCCTGTATCCAATCGTTTTTTGTTTGTGCCGTCTTCAACACCGCTGCATCGGATAGTTGCTGGTGTGTAGGTGTATCCGGTGGTGATTCTATATAACTGCGTGTCGCCGCGAATTTCGCTTGTGTATTATCCTTTTGATTGGTGAACAAGTTCAAACGATATTCAGCTTTTTGATGATCAGTGAAACCACCTCCCGAGTACGCGCTAGCTGTATTCGCCTTCAGTTTCATTTCATTGCTCACATACTCCGAAGAGTCAATTTGTGACGTGGACAAACCAGATTTACGCGTCAAACGCGGACGGGGATCAAGCGCGCTTTTTTTAGCGAGCACACCACTGGTTGTCACGCTGGTGAAACAACCCAAATCGCCATCATCCTCCGTAGGCGTTTTCTGACCGTTACCAGCTTGCGATGGCGCGGATTTTGTTGCCGAGGCATTGCGCAGCACGCGAGACTTTATCTTCTCCAAATATGCGCCCGCCGACTCATGCGAACCCAAAATGAGATCGCGCTCGTTATATGCGTGCGGTGATTGCGGACCCTGTTCTGCTTCTGCGTCGTGGTAGTAATTCACCTCGAGCACATTCGAGCGATTGTTCACATGCACTGGGATTTTTGTGTTACACAGCTGCGCATCCACATCAACCCCACTGCTGCTTAGTTGCAAATGCTTCGGACGCTGTTGTGCTTTTAATGCCTGCTGAGCGCTCTTGTCGATGTTCATTAGATCCTTTTGCTCCTCCGTATAGTTGTCGCCGTCCAGCGTATAAGTGCCAGTTTCACTGATATTATCCGCCTCTAAGTTGTAGTTCTTCAATTCGGCGAGCGGCGGTTGCGCGCAAAGAAAGTCCACTTTCTGCAAGGCCAATTGCATAGCGGTCGAGCGCGGCGTGAATTGTGTGCGATTCGCTACTAGGTTGGCAGCGCCTTTGGGCAGCTGCAGCGGCGGTGGTTTCTGCTTGCTGACATTTTTGCGCGTGGGCGGTAAGGGCTTCTGTGCAGTGTTCGCGCGTTCGTTGGCGCTGTTTTGACTATTACGCGTCGCTGATGACGTTTGCGCAACGGCATGCTGACCGTGCGCGTGCAACTGTGACTCTTGTGTACTAGAACGCGGTGACCAACTATGTCGCTTGCTGGCGTCGCGTACACGCGATGTGCTGCGATCACGCACACGCAGCTTCACTTTCGGCACATCGCCGCCACCACTATCGTATGAGTTATCAACGGCGCCCGCGCTATTGCGCGCATGACGTGCGTTGGCGCTGCCACTCAGCGGTGTTGCTGACACTGAGCTAGTCATTGTGGTTTCCTTATTGGTGGCAGCATCGCCAGCTTCCAGTTTCGACATGGATGCACCACGTCGGTGACGACTCTGAAAACGCTCCATCATGCTTTTGTAACGCGCTTTAGCTGCTTCAGGATCACAACCGCTGTCATTGAAGTTGTCAATTGTAAAAGCATACGACTGTTTATTTGCTGTTGCTGTTGTGGTAGTATTAGTTGCATTGGAGGCGGATGAATCATCGTCGTGCGGCAACGACTCGCTATTGTCTGCACCGCTGGCAAGCAGCGCCGCCGCATTGATGTCCGACATAGTGGACGGTGTAACGCAACCGCTGTCACTGCCGTTACCATCGACAACGCGCTTACTTTTGCCTAAACCGGCTGTCGAACAGTCGATGCTGTGGTTGTGGCTATGGCCGTGGCTTTCTATGCGTTCGCTTTTGCTCAACATATCTGCGAAAATGTCGGAATTGAGAGAAAAATATACAATTATATTAAGCGTGCATATTACAATTATTAAGTGAAAACGAAAATAAAAACGAAAAAAAAAAAGGAAAATTATTGAGATTTGTGCAGTTGAAGTGCTTAGGAGAGACGGTGGTGGGGTGGCGTTAGTGGCAAAGTGAAGCAAATGTAAAAATTTGTTCCGTGCGGTATAGAGATTGCTTTTGATTGCTTTCCAACAACGAATGCGTGCGCTTATTGTTGCTTTTGCTATTGCATATTGGACAAATATGGTTGCTGTTGCGGCACAGTGAAGCAATACGCAAACTTACATACGTATTTTCATAACCCACATTCAAGTTAAGGTAGGGAAAAATGTCAGATCAGGCAACGGTACGTCGTTGCAGCATATAATACGTGTATGGGCAGCAGCGTAGCCAGGAAATGGTGTGGAGGTGAGATCACATATTTTTTAAACAGACTAAACACCTATTCGTCCCACAGAAATTTCACACTTGTTTACACAATTTACTTGCTATACGTTGCACAACCATGACGGTATGGCAAGTGAAGGCCAAAGTTCGAACGAAACTCACATTTTACCTGACTTTTCTATTGAACTTCGCTACGCAAGCGCAACACTCCACTGCCAACGTCACGCAGAGCGGCAGAGCAGTAAACGGCAACGGTGAATTTATGGAAGTGTTTTGCGCAGAATTTCTGCGTTTCACTTTGAAATTTCTCTGATTTTACCTTTTTTGCTGTTTACACTATTTTTTCTATTTTGCTAATAATAGCAAACCACGAGCAGATAACAACTTTTCCATAAACACAATTACTGCGTATTTATGTAAATATATACATACATGTATGTATGTAGGAATATATTATATATGGTATAAGTAGTCATGCTGCTAAACAATTTAGCGAAGCCCACGCACTATGGTTTATCTCCAAACAGACAGACACATTTATATAAATATCAACAGTGAAACGTCGGACAAAGAATTGTTACAAATATACATATATATATATATATATATATATATTTGTACATATAGTATGTGTGTGTAGGTATGTACAGGTCCATATCTCGCTATGTTATGGGCAAGCCACAAAGCCACAATCTTTGTGTTTCATCGGTCAGTGTTTTTCTTGTTGTATTTAGTATATAAACAATTAATTGAAATGCCAAATAGCGGTAATTATTTATACATTTTAATTATGCAGAGTTGTTAAAGAATGTACAGTTACTAAATAAATTACAATAATAAGAACATACCAAAGCTGGAGATATACATACATATATTTACATGCATGAGTGTTTTGTGTTATTGGTTGCTGTTGGGTGCCAAGCATATTGAATTTATTTATTGATTATTTAATTAGTTAAGTATATTTAGATTTGTACTTATGTATACAGAAGTATGTGCATGTTGTTTGTAAATACACATGTTAATACAAAATTTGATATTAAAAAATATTAGAAAAGAAGCTGTTGCACGTCGCAGCTTCGAAAATGGGTATAAATAGATATGTACAATATATAAATTAAAAAATATTTTTATTTTCATTTTCATTTTTCAAATTTCATTTTTATTAATTTAAACTATTATTTTATTTTTAAATTTATTTTTAGTTTTTACTTCGAATACTGAATTTAATGTTTGTTAAATTAACCCAATTTTGAATAGTTTTTTATGAATTATAATATATTTTATTTTGTTAACTGTATTTTTTGTATTAACCGTCATTTTTTTATTAACTGCTTTTTTATTATTGTAATTTCTTTAAATTGTAATTTTTTTATTAAATTGTATTTTTTATTATTAAATTGCAATTTTTTTATTAAATTGATATTTTATATTAAATTGTATTTTTTTTATTAAATTGCAATTTTTTTATTAATTTATAATTTTTTAATTAATTTGTAATTTCTTAATTAAATGGTAATTTTTTTATTATACGTCAGCCAAATTAGTACGACCTTCGCACTGATTTATTTTTTACTGCCTCCATGAAGCAAATTTGTGTAACAAACATTTAGTGAATTATTGTTGAAATAGAAAATCTAAATTTTAGATAAAACTTGAAAAACAACACACATATGTACATATACTCAATATATACATACAAACATACAAAGTACATATAAAAAAACTACAAAAATAAAAGGTTCGAAAAAATGTGCAAAATTTTTACAACCAAATGCTTAAATACATACATACATTGAAAAAATAAAATAGAAAATATTTTATATTTTAATAAATCGAACGTGGGTAGGAATATGAATTGTTAAAAATATGAAATTCATATGCAGATGAGCACACACAGGTTGTCGCTAACCAAATATAGTTAAATATGTTCTTTAAATACTTCAAATGAATTTTTTGTTATTGTATTGTAGTATATTTTTTTTTTAATTTAAACACAGTGACAACATGAGTCATGTGTTAGGGTGCGACAGGCCGCAACCAGAAATGGGCTTCGAAAAATTGCGTCAAGTTTCGTTGTAGCAGATAAACAGCGACAGATATACGGATTAGCTCAGCTGAATTACAAATGTGACCGAATAGCGCTATATAGCTGCTCAATTGGTGATTCATGTAGTAAGCACTTAGCGCACTGTCAGCTAAGCACAACGCAATGGAGTACTTACGTACATGTGTATGTGTGTGTATAGGTGTATGGAAATTGCCATACATTGGAGTAGAGGTTAGTAAACAGAAGTTATAAAAGTAAACAAACACCGTTTGTATGGAGAAATTACAGTCAAGAAGACCGCTTCTTCGCAGGTTTGCTACGCGCATATGCAAAATATAGCATTTTTATGATTATCATAAACACACATTTTGAAATTACTACAGGTAATGGGTATACAGCGCTAGAATTTTGAACTAATTGAGGTATATCGGGCAGCCATGCAGAGCTGAGGGAATAATAGTTTTGCACAAAATTCCAGCGAAAAGTGGGCTAATCAAGCGCTTACAAAATACGAGAAGCATACACATTTTAAAACGCGCACAACTACATACAAAAATACACCTGTACGTTTATCGAAATTAGCAATAAAATGTAAAATGAAAATAGTTTTATTAAAATAAAACTAAATGAATAAAGAGTCAACAAACCGAATTAGGTAAGAGGCGTATTTGAATGTGTGTGTGTGTGTGTGCTGTCCAAAGCGACAAGTGCGACGTGAGCGCAATTTGAATGACAATTAACATTTCCAGCATAGCCAATGCAGTCAACAGCGGGAACAACAGTCTCCGCAAAAGGCATAAGCCACCACAAAAACGCAACAGCAATGAAGTTAACAATGAGCGTAATATTTTAGTGTTGAAAATGCATTGAAATAAAAGCAAAATATATGTATGTACAATCACAAATATGTGCATGTATGACCGTAAAACGCTAATAAAAACCAGTACCATAAGATGAAACTGCTTGGCGTGAATGATGTGCAATTGCGGCTGCTCGGTTTGAAACAACTGATATACGAAATATTTCGCAAATACACACGTACATATATACATTCACAGTGATCCAAATCGAGAGCTAAGAACAGTGGATTTTTTGAAACACTTTTCTAAGCTGTTGTGCAGTGTATTGACACTTTTGTTTTTGTATGGAAATTTTTTTATTTGTGCAGGATTTTTTCTAATTGGAACTATGAATGAACATATACAACTTTTTGCTTAATCTTGTTTTTGTAATGATCGGGATTACTAGTTGTTATTAGGGTTTTGTAGCAGCTTATGCGTAACTCAGAAGTTTGAGATGACAGGGCTTTAATTAAATCCGGTTTTGCTCAGGTTGAACATGATTCACCGTCGAAAAGTAGCAATGAGCCATCAAATGCTGGCCGTACATCGATGAAATTGAAATAAAACTGTTTTTTGTCGAGTTTATCTGTATGCGTAAGAGTTCAAATGTAGACGCGCCTTTCGACCCACTGTCACTAACTCACTAACTGCTTACTATTGCCGATCGCTAAAGCTTTTGTTCAAATTTTTTTTTGTTTTTTTTGACTATTTTTTCACTCACCTTTTTCATTGCAAAGCGGTTTGCCAAAACAAAACTTTGCATTTGAGTCATCAACCGCCACAGCTAGCCCAACTCCATAACCAGCACCAACAATATCTCTATCGAAAGCGTCAGCATTAGTTGCCGATGCTTGTGAATTAACTAGATAGTGCGAGGATGAGCGGTTTTTTAACTGTTGCAGCTGCGCTTGCTGCTCAATGACATCATCGATCTTCTTCAAATTTTCCGGTGTGGTATCGGTCTTCTCATGCCCGTCCGAAAACGAATCACATTCATAGTCTGTGCAACAATTGCTTGTTGGTGTATCTAACAATTGTTGATCTTGCAACAGCTGTTGTTGTTGTTGCAGCGTTGTTTCGCCTAATTTCCGCAGTACATCACAATCGTACGTTGACGGTGTTGTTGGGCTTTCATAAGGCGAACGGTCGATAGTTGCGTGAAAGTTGCGCATGCCGTCAACATTCTCCACACCTGCCATTGTATCTGTAGCGAGAGCGTTTGACGCTAACGTTGCCGTAGCGTTAGCCACATTTGTATTATCCATTGAGCTTGTTGTTGCTGTTGCTGTGTTGTTAGAATCATTGGCGGTTGCGTATGATGTCATTATATTTGCTTAAATATTCACTGACAGGCAACCAGAACACGCAGGGAATTTGGTTGTCTGGTTTTTTTTTATTAATTTATTTTTATTTTTTTGTTATGCTTTTTGGCAAGTTGAGAGAAAATGTACAGGTACCTATCTCGAACTCTTACCTCGTGTGGCAAAGTATTAAAATGTATTCACGCTTACTAAAAAGTTGTACAATAAATTAATTAATCAACTAGGTGTGTGACTCTGTATCCGCTTTGCTGCGCTTTACCGTTCTATTAGGCCTATTTATAATAATACGTGCTCTCTCCTTACTTTTCCTGCCGCTTTGACTATTTTACTTCTTTCGTTTTCGGTCTCTGCTACTTTGTGCGTTCGTTCTTATCACTAGTAGTTACATTAGCAACAAACTGAAAATTTGTTTGCCTTTAGGATGCAAGCGTGAGTGTGTGTCTATATGGGGGATAGGTGGACGTGGATCTTTATGACGCTGTGTGCCGAGTGTTGGCGATTTCGTAGTTGTACGCTCGCTTATGGATTTTTACGTGCGATTGTATGTGCAGGTGCCGTGGGTGTTACCTCTTCATGTATTGTATTTTTCGCTTTTATATATGATAAATTTCTGTTCCTGTTGGTGCCGTTGTTGTCGGCGTTTTCGCAAAGTTCGTTAGCTTTTTCGCTGCGACAGCGAAAATATTTGTCATCAGACGTGTTTGTTTTGCATTGAATTTGATTTTAAACTTCAAAAGCGACACGTCTGACATCGGCCGCTTTCAACTTGCTTGTTGCCACATTATTGCCAAATTCTTTTACTAAGTTTGACAGCTTGATCGGTGTAACAGCCAGAAGAACTTTACATATGAAACATACAATGATTGACGTTGAGTATTCTAAGGTGGTGGCTGGGCGTTTATTTGGTGCTATCCGGTTTGGTTAGTTGGTCAGTTGGTTGATTAACCACGAATCGGCAACTGTAAAAGAAATAAAGCAAAATTAATATATGCGGACAAAATAATAAATAAAACAACAACACTAAAAGTTACAAGGCAGCGGATATGTGTGTTTTCTTATTTATTGTACGAGTTTCGTGTGTGCCAAATTTTCTACATACACTTGTATGGTTGCATGTGCGTACACATGTACATATGTATGTATGTATGTAGAAGCATACTGTAGTTTCCTATTTTAGATACGCTTTTTACACAAAACACTTCTCAAAACTTTTTTGCGTTCGATGAAATAAGAAAATCGAATTTGAATTGAAAATTTTCAAGGTTTTCGGAGCTCTTGTAAGAAAATTTTGTGCTTTCGATTTTAATCAAGTACCTTTTCACTTGAATGACTCGAATATATTTTTGTTTTGTATTTTCAAGCAGACAAAGTGCGTCAATGGCATTGAAAAACTAAATAGGATACATTAAAAACAAAAAGAAGTCCCTTACAGCTAATACACTTAAACGTTAGTATCAGCTGTGTCAAAAGCGCGTCCACTTTGTTCGTGCACATGTAGAAACGTTCAACGACCAAGGGCGTCAATTCACTGCCTCCGTCTATTTGTGTTACACAAAAAGACAACAACACACACAAACAGATAGCGACAGCATAAAATTTCGAAACTTCTTCATTGGACTGCTAAGATTATAGCCACCTTTTATTTTCACCTTTTTAGCTTTTTTATTTGATTTCTTGCATCTCCGTGTTATTTGAAGTTCATTCAATTTATCACACTAATGAACAGTATTCTAAGCGCTTTATTCTCTCTATTGTTTCTTAATGCCGTGATATTTGCATTTCTAGCTTCTCATTATTCTTTCCGAGATTTAGAATTAAGTTAATAGTTAACGGCAAAAAGCCACTGTCCGCACTCTAGACTTTTATGATGTCCAACCGTTTCTATTAGCAAAAACACTGAATCCAATCGGTATATACTACCTACAAACTAGTGGTCATAGCCGCTTGAATTGTTTTGGCCAAGTGAATGCCAATATGACACTGAGTAAATGATTCGAAGAGAGCGCAATAGTGATGTACAGAAAAAGTTTAAAGTAATCGCATAAGTTTATCATTTTCATTTTGAGTACTTAGCAAAACCAACGATTCAGCATAAAGTCGAAGACGTGATGCATGTATAAATTGTCAATAATATGCTTTTATGAAAATACTGCTGCTATATTGGCTTTTTTCAATAATTTTACCAATTTTTTACATTCAAAATCGAAATTAAGCCAAAAGTAGTCACCACTGTTAACGAATACTAAAGAATTCTCCAACACCAATTTGAGTATCATATATTTACTCTCGCGAACTCACTTCTCTTTGATACACAAATTCCAATCAGAGTGTATAAGTCCAACCAATTTGCCGTCATCTACAGCTAATTACCAAATTGTCAATTACATATGGTACGTTGTGCTTGTGCCAACTAATGAATGGATTGTAATGGCAAATTGTCACTGCATTTACTACTTTCAACTTTGATTGCACATAATGAAACATTTTTACAACCACTCTTTGTTAGTTGTGAAGCACTTTACATGGCAAAATATCATTGTACATTTGAAAAAAACAGGTGGGTAGGAATTTTCAAAGGCATATTCCGCTGCAGGTGCATTTTACACATCAGTGAACACCTCATATGAAAGCCAATTTGCGGTCACACCCTGACGAACAGCAAGACCAATTGCGCTCTCCTATTAGGACTTTAAGAGCATGTCATTCACTATACAAAGCGCGAATATGTGTTTATTTATCTTTGTATATCTTTTTCTTTTCTAAAATGTATGAATATGCACAAAATTGGAAAATCACATTTGTTTCAACTGCGAAATTGTTACGCCGTTAAATGGTCATTTATGTAGTTATTCCTTTGTACAGAACTTATTTTCGTTCACTCTAACAACAAAACAACGCACATTCTGCACTGGTGTGCTCACTCGGCGCTATGCCTCACGGCGGGCTCTGTATTGGCATTTTCTTTTCATTTTTTTTTTTTTTGATATAAATTTACAATGTGTTTCTTTTAATTCACTGCATATTTGAGTTGCATTTATTGATACACGAATTGTTGTGTAAATTGTTTACTTATTGATGCAAATTTTTTGCAGTTAATTCGTGATTATTTACACAAAAAACATACCGTGAGGAAAAGCAACGTTATCTACCGTTGTCCACACAAAAACTTCCAATTAGACTATTCTGACATATCAAAGAGAGTGAATGTGTCAAACGAGCCCATAGAGCACAGAGTTGCATGCGACTTTGCGAGTTTAAAAATATTTAAAGACATGTGTTAGGAAGAGTTTCTTAGCTGATTTTTACTAATTTCTTCATTTTAAAAGAAAAATTCATGTTGGTTTGGTGGAAATAGCGTAAACTATACAATTTTATACTGTATTAAATATTTAGGAGACCATGTGCAATAAACCAAACAAATACTTGCCATGTACACAATGAAATAATTTGAATGTTATAGATATTTATATTTAAAATAACTACTTATGTTATTAAAATTTATTATATATTTTAAAGTGCGGTTAAAAAACGAATCGTTAAATATTTGCATAGTAATAAAATAATTTGAAATAAAAACACTGCACATGTGACCCCGACGTGATTTGAACACGCAACCTTCTGATCTGGAGTCAGACGCGCTACCGTTGCGCCACGGAGTCTCTTCATATATATGCTTTGATATATGCCTACATATATGTAGTTTTAACACATTATACTCATACTCTTATTTAATAGTTAAACCTTAAGATATTTATAATCATATATTATTTCCATGCCTATTGTTTTTATATCTTATCACACCTAATAATACACAATCCAATTTTTAGATATCTTTCAAGGTCGCAATAATTGTCGTAATATTTATTCTTTGCTTCTTTGTTTGAAAGAGACTTTACTCTTTTTACTATAAAATACTGTAAAATAAACTAAATAAAAAACAATGATGTATGAAGTTTCAAACTTAAGACTGTGGCTCTACAAAAACTGAATGCTGACCAACGAAATACTTTTTTATTGTTGTAATTTACTGTAAAGTATATGAAACAGTATAAATGATAACCTCTAGAACGCACAGAATAACTTATTTTTTAGTTACCAATAATGTTTTTAGTAAAACCTGAGAACTTGTAACAATTATTGTATGTTCTCTGATAAAACTAAATTTGTTGTAAACATTGTGTTATTAGCGCCATCCGACGGCGCGTAGTAAAGATAATTTTTGTTTAACAGTTTGAAGGCTTTGTAGGTAGTCAAAGCGATAAAGAGCGTACGTTCTCTACTTAATCTCGTCATGGTCAAAATCAGCTGTTAAATGTAGTCGTCCCCGCTGATTGTTATTTAATTCGTACGCATATATTTTAGAAAATTTTGCACGCAGAATAACGCACATAAATTAATAAATAGTTCATGGCAAAATGCTACGACAATGTGTGCCTAAATCACCAGTAAGAGTGGTAAGTAAAGTAAAACATTTAAATTAGTTGACAATTTTATTTTATTTATTTCATCATACACAGCACACTAGCGCTCGCGGTATTCTTAGGGGTGCTGCAACGAATGCACCTGCCACAGCAGCAAAGGAAAAACTCGAAGAAATACGTGGACGTCTGGAGAAGGGACCGAATTTTCAAGATTTCGTGCAAAATCCGGAGTATACGCGCGAGGAATGGACTGCCTACGAGGGAAAATTGCGTCGAGAGAAAGGTGAAAATGAAAGATTACGTCTACCACCTTGGTTGAAAACTACCATCCCCATGGGTAAAAATTTTGCCAAGATCAAGACACAGTTGCGTGAGTTGAAGCTTGCCACAGTGTGTGAAGAAGCGCGGTGTCCGAATATCGGCGAATGTTGGGGTGGTGGAGAGCATGGCACACAGACAGCAACTATTATGGTATGTCAAAGCACAGATAGTGTACATATCGTGAATATTTAAAAATAACTTTTTGAATTTTTTTTTAACATGTCAATAGTACTATGTTGACCTCTACTGATAACTTGTCAAATATTTTTTATGGTTGTGTATGTTAATACTATTTGCATACATATCTACATATATGTATAAAATATTCAAATATTCTTATCTTATTGTGACAGCTGATGGGTGACACATGTACGCGTGGTTGTCGTTTCTGCTCTGTTAAAACTGCCCGTAAGCCACCACCATTGGATTCCGCTGAGCCAGTAAATACAGCTAAAGCAATTGCCTCCTGGGGCTTAGATTACATTGTGCTCACATCAGTTGATCGAGACGGTATGTTATTGATTTACTTTATACATATATATATTTTTTTGAATATTTTAAGAAATATTTATCTTTAGATTTAACCGATGGTGGCTCAAATCACATCGCGGAAACTGTGCGCGAAATCAAAGCACGGTAAGGCATTCTCCCATTTTGTTCTAATTTTGTATATTATTTATAAGTTTTGCTTTATAGCAATCCAAACATTTTCGTCGAATGCTTGGTGCCCGATTTTCGTGGAGATTTGAAATGCGTAGCGACCATAGCTAACAGCGGACTAGATGTATATGCGCACAATATCGAAACTGTCGAGAAGTTAACACCGTTTGTACGTGATCGTCGCGCACATTATCGCCAAACATTGGCAGTGCTACAGCAAGCGAAACGGTTTAACCCGAAACTCATTACAAAGAGCTCTATCATGCTCGGTCTGGGTGAAACAGATGCCGAAATCGAACAAACTATGCGGGATCTGCGTGAAGCCGGTGTGGAATGTCTCACCCTGGGGCAATACATGCAACCCACAAATAGGCATTTAAAAGTTATCGAATATGTAACGCCTGAAAAATTTAAACACTGGGAGCAACGCGGCAATGAATTGGGCTTCTTGTATACCGCCAGTGGACCGCTGGTACGCAGCTCATACAAAGCAGGCGAATTTTTCATAACAAGCATACTAAAGAATCGTCAAGAGCAAACGCAGCAAGCAGCTGAAGCACAAACCACGCAGCAGAAGTAATTAGTTATGCTTAAAGTGGTTGGAAATAGCTATAAAATCGGCCAAAAATAAAATAGATGCAATTGTTGCAAGCAAGCTGATTATGGTGGAGTCGTTAGCATCAACCAATTGCCTATTCATTAGCTTTTTGAAGTTGTGATTCATATTTTGTGTGTGAAAATGTTATTATAAACAATTATTTTTAGCCTGCCCGATATTCTGTTGTTTATATCACTTAAACAATGCGCGTACACAAGTGATATGTAGTAAAATATACGCTTGTTGAGAAACAAATTTAATTTGTTTTGCTGTTTCTTATTCAGCTAAATATAAACGCTAATTTACTTAATGCACTTTTGAGTATAAAAGCTTGCTTGCATGGTCGCAGCACTTTTATATAATATAAAAATGTACATATATACCACAACACATAATCGCATTAATGTCAATGAGTGTAATATGTAGGAGCTTGCAACACAAAGCTCAATCTACTGGCATTCATTTCTGCGGCCACCTGTCAACCAGAAAAAGCTGCTGTAGATGTACACTTATGAAGTTCAAGTTCATACAACAACAAATGCAATGGAATTAACACGAAAGCGATTGCTTTGCAGTTTCATTTCCACGCTGCCGTCGGTGTGGGTAGGCATCCAATGTTGGCGGCGTTGTTGGTGTGGCCGCCAAGTTGGCTTTGTCACCTCAACAAGTGTTCGTTTTTACAACAACAACAAGCAGCAACTCTTAGCGCTGCGCTCACGTCAGCAGAAGTAAACAAAGTTTCGTTTTACATGGTCATTACATGCCCCTGGCCTCCCTCTCATTTAAGTGCTGCTGCCACTGTTAATGGATTTTTCGCGCATGCGCCGCAGCCAAACGCTCTAATCGCATTTTCCTTCGTTCGAAATTTATTAAAATTCGACTGACATTTGTGAGTCAATTGTCAGTTGTGAAAATTGCTGCAACAGCTGCAGCCCCGCAATAAAAAGTGTTATATATTTTCGCTAAAAGCTAAAGAAATTGTTAAAAATATAATAGAAAGTTTGTCTAAATATTATTTTGAAGTTAAAAGTGGCTAAGACTGTGTAAAACAACACCAAAGAAGCTGAAACGCAATTTACAAGCCTAAAAGTATGCAACGTTTTTGCGACATATGTTAGGTAGTAACAGCGCACTTTTGCATAACCCAAAGGGATAGGAGCTCCGGTGCACACGCACTCAACTTTCAACATTTGCCATTGGTTAAATCAGCGTTTGCAGCGTATGTGCTTCCCAGTCGTTGCTTCTTAGTGTGTTTCAAACAGCTGCGCTCGCCGTCAATATGCCCAGTACACGTCGCATCATTCTCGGTCACGTTATGTCGGGTTTGTGCTCCAAAATGAACCGCACAAAGCCCGTGCCTGCGGATGTCATGGAGACGCCACTAAAGCGTTGCCTCAACACCTTCGACATCACGCTTTTGGGTGAGTACAGCAATCACTAGCAAGGGAGCTGGGGAAAAGGTATAAAGAGTGACTTTATTAATAAGATTCCCATTAAAAAATATTCGCGATATTTTGTCATTTCCTCGCTGAATCTCGTCGCATTTATTTATGCTTTTACGATTTTCAGGCATTGGGCACATGGTTGGCGCTGGCATTTATGTGCTCACCGGCACGGTGGCGAAGGATATGGCCGGTCCTGGCATAATACTATCCTTCATTTTGGCCAGTTTCGTATCACTTTTAGCCGCGCTCTGCTATGCGGAGTTCGGCACACGCGTTCCCAAAGCAGGCTCCGCCTATGTCTATACCTACATCTCGATTGGTGAGTTCTGGGCCTTTGTTATCGGTTGGAATATTCTATTGGAGCATATGTTGGGTGCAGCTTCGGTGGCGCGTGCCTGGAGCGGGTATGTGGACTCGATGCTGGACGGTTGGATTGGTAATACGACACTCGCCATAACCGGTGAGCTGCATGAGCAATTGTTTGCACGTTATCCCGATATTTTGGCATTTCTGGTGTGTCTGGTTTATGCTGCTGCCTTGGGTATCGGCGTTAAGGCCACGGTCGTTTTCAATAGTTTGTTGACTTCTGTGAATATTGCCGTAATGATTTTGGTTATCGGTGTGGGTTTCTGATATGCGGATACAAAGAATTGGTCAGAGGCGGAGGGTGGGTTTCTGCCTTATGGTGTTGGTGGTGTTATAGCTGGTGCGGCCACATGTTTTTATGCTTTCGTTGGTTTCGACTCCATAGCCACGTCGTCGGAGGAGGCCAAGAACCCGTCAATATCTATTCCTATAGCCACTTTACTTTCGCTCAGCGCCGTTACAGTCGGTTATATTTTGGTCTCCGCAGCGCTCACGCTTATGATACCGATTCGTGAAATCAACCCTGCTGCTTCGTTGCCCGAAGCCTTCGGACAAATGAATCTCTATTGGGCCAAGTATGTGATCTCTATTGGCGCACTTTGCGGCATGACCACCACACTTTTGGGTTCGTTATTTGCGTTGCCTCGTTGCATGTATGCCATGGCCTCGGATGGGTTACTCTTCAGCTGCTTTGGTCGCATCAATACCACCACGCAAGTTCCCGTGCTCAATCTTGTGGTTTCCGGTTTTCTAAGCGCTATACTAGCGCTGCTCTTTGATTTGGAGAAGCTCGTGGAGTTCATGTCGATTGGCACATTACTTGCCTACACCATCGTCTCGGCCAGTGTTATTATACTGCGCTATCGACCGCTGGCCAGCCAAGAGCATGCTATCTACGCGCCCGACACACCGGACGAGGATGATGAGGACAACACCTCACAGTCAAGCATCGATACCGCCTCACCTACAAGTGACTTGATAGAGGGTGCACTCGCTGGACGTCTCAAACCACAATTTCGTTGGCTCGAACCACTACTCGGTCGCTTTGAACCCGGCGCCGCTGTATCTGCTGCGGTGCTACTCTTTTCAGTGCTTAGTTTTGCGATTTGCTTCCAACTCGAGGTATCCTGGTCGGAGCTTTATAGGGGCACTTGGTGGGCGCTCTTGCTTTACGGTTTTATGATTTTCATAGCTGGCGCTTGCGTCGCCGTGATTGCGGTACATCATCAGAACACGCGCGGACTCAACTTCAAAGTGCCGCTCGTGCCCTTCGTGCCGGCGCTAAGCATTTTCTGTAATATTGTGCTGATGGTGCATCTGAGCGCGCTCACCTGGCTGCGTTTCTTTATCTGGGTCGCTGTCGGCATGTTGATCTACTTCCTATACGGCATACATCACAGCAAAGAGGGTGAGGTGTGCTCTTCCTATTCCATGTTAATGACCTCAACGGAGGCGGGCAAGTCGCATTGGGGTGCTACGGGTGGCGGTTTCACCATCAGTTTGACTGGCAGTGGAGGCGCTGGTGTCATTAAGCGTACAGTCTTGCAGCGTTTCATTGGTAGAAAAATGGATGATAAGAAACCGATTGTCGAGGAAGAGGATGTAGATGAAGTAGACGAAGAGGGACACACGTAAGCGGTTGGCGTTGGGAAGCAGTGCAAAGCAACAAGTAACTACTATGATTTTTGATTAACTGTACTATGCGAATTGGGAACGGTATGGAATTTACTTTAAAACATTTAATGTGGCGCAGAAGTATTTGAATAAGATTTTGTGATTTTTTTTTTATTAAAGCATGTTTAGATTTGTTTTTAATTAAATGTGTCAGCAAATTGTTTTTTTTTTTTATTTGTTAGTTATGGGAGCGCCAAATCAAACGCGTGACGTATGACTGTTGCTACTTAAACTTTTTCTTTGCTACTTACTCAAGCGTCAGGGAGCGTTCAAATGCCCGTAGCATGAGTCATGCGTCAAGCTTAATGCAAGCACAAACATGTTTAATTAGAATTTCGTTTTTCATATGAAAGTCTCGAAGTGAAAAAGTCAATTCGCAAAATTCGCAAAATTCGACCTTATTTGATTATCTTTCAGTCAGCACAGTGCGGTTTTGTGACATAATATTTTATAAATGTATTGAAATGCTTAAGCATAAAACTCTAGCGACCAGCCAGTTAGCGCTTTATGCATTATATGTACATACAAACATACATACATGCATTCATACACAGTTTATGTTCTACATACAAGTTTATGACTAATTATTACGCTGGATAAGCATTGAAAAAGTATTAAGAATATATTTCGAAATGTTATTTTTTCACTTCTTGCATTTAAAATTACTTAACTCAAAACAAGCATTTAATTAATACTAAAAAAAAAATATTTCATTTGCAGAGCTAACATACTTACTATGCACGAGATATGTAGATAAAAAAAAATATTTTTTCAAATTTCAAATATTTTTTTTAAATATATTTTTTCAAATTTCAAATATATTTTTTAAATATTAATTTTTCAAATATTTTTTTTTTAAATATTAATTTTTCAAATTTTTTTTTCTTAGCTTTCATGCATAAATTGTAAAATATAAACTGAGGAAAAAACTACAGATTTTATGAAGCCAAACTAACTTACTATAAACTATACAATAAAATTTTTATTTGAAAACAAAGTTAATTAGCATTTCATGTCTAGAGAATATGTGTAATACATGCATACAAATATATTTTCTAATAAAACGTTATTATTACGCATAAGAAAAATATGGATTTACAATAAATTAATACTCTGCGTGGTGAAGAGAAAACTTTGCGTGATTTGTCTACAGTGAAGTACACAAGAACGGTAATAACCAAAAGAAATAAGTAAAAAGCAATTTCCCAATAAAATAAAAAATTAAAAGCATACTTTGAGGCGTTTCGCCTCGCTCGTTTGTCTTAATGCAAATCACCAAAGTTTATTTAATTATTAATTTATGATTTTCTCTTCATTAAAACGCATAAAAGAGTAAAGTGTAATTAAACAATTAAATAATCAATTAACTCAAACATCTATATATATATATACATACATATTATATATACATATATATATAGAACTATATATATATATATATTTATATATTAAGCACACTTAATTGAAATGTTAATAATATAAACGTACCAAATTACCTGCAAATATATACATACATATTATATGGATAAATACATCAAATATTTAGCTAAATGTATAATTGTTAGACAGTATTAATTGGTTTCTATGTTTTGTGAAATTCAAGAACAAATGTAAACAGCAGCAATTATTAAATTATAACAATACAGACGCACATACATTTATACATGTATGATATGTTGAAATAAATATGCTGTCAAATGTACCGTTTCATTTTTGTTAAAGTGACCAAGTAGCAGGGCTGTAAAAATATGCTCGTTTTTTCGGATTTTAAGACAGAGAACTTGAACAATCTTTTTAAGGGCTCCAAAAAACAAAGACAAAATTATTATCTTATTTAATTGTATAACATCTTTAGAATATTGACCAAAATTCTCAAGTTGATCGCAGTAATAGTATTGGAGATACAGCTTTAAAAAGTTGCGCGCTCGAGGTCAGCTATATAGTCACTTAAAACTTTAAATGCATGTTTCTTGAAACAGTGTTTTCAAAGTAGATGTCAAGATCTCGCGCACTACGCAGCCGTTATTAATGAAATTATACACAGGTCTTTGAGATATAGTTTACAAACTGTTGCACGAAGGATTTTCTTTTGTTCAATTACAACTATTTAAAAAATACAAATTTTCACCAAAAGTTGTATTTTGTTGTAAAAACGTCTGCCAAAAGTACAATTTTAACTTTATTCGTTTTTTCTCCATCCAATACCTAGCTAATGGTCTTAGTTAAAACAAGTATTTTTTTCTTTTTACTTGTGTTGATCCTGTCAGAAGTTCTGCTGTCAACGCGGAAGCACCTTTTTTCCGAAGGACTGCCGAAAATGACGTCTCAATGACCGGGTTTTGAATATTTTCCTTTGAAAATTTCACGAAATCTTTGTCAAATATGTATCTGCGGATTGATAAAAAGTTTAAAAAGTATTTTATTTTTTATATGAGAAAGAAATGATTGAAAATAGAGCGTTTTTTTCTGGACGAAACCCATGTAACCCCTTAATTTCGCTGTATTTTGTTTTGTACTCTGAAAAAGTTTGTTGAATCTGTAGAAAGCACTGATCATTTCTGCAGTAAAGCTTGCAAATTAAAACTAGAGAGTGGGATCAGTCAGATCTCGTTAGATTTTCTTAGCTTCAACTGCCTCTTCAGACACTTATGCAGGAACTAGTGACCGACGTGCCGCACTTCCCTACTTACCGTTGATATCAAACGAAATTTATCAAAAGTTATGTCCGTAGTGACAACGTACAAATCAAAGTTGTGATTGCTCATGTATGTATGTATATTTGATTTTGCACACATCTAACTTTTCAGTTATAATTTTTCATAGCGTGAAAGATCAATACTTAAGTTCAACTATTAAAAATAGTCTACCTATTTATAAATAATTTTATTCGACTAGGATTTTGAGTTAGTTTAAGAATATTTCAAATATATTAAAGTTTATTTTTAATTACTACAAAATATTGAGACTGGCAATCCTGCGTTGTAAGTGAGCAAACAGCTGACTCGTTTCTAGGGAAAATATCCAATTTCTGCGGTAAGTGTTAAAACGAAGGTTTCAGGACCATAAAGCCAAGAAAAATTCGAAAATTGTGATAAATATTACAAAACACAATAATTTTTCAACGAAAGATTGGCAAAAGGCTTCGGTTTAACCGAGTAGAAGTTGGTATATAAATTGTTTTGTAGCAAGAGAGTAGTTCGTCATAGCATATTACGATTTGATCAAAATTGAACCGAACTTAAATATGACTCAGAATTGGCAGTCAAACACATGTAGCGGGAGTGTTGTAGTACACTATTTCGGCTCAATCTGAATAGATATTGTGTTTTAGGGAGACCGAATATTTACGATTGCTTTTATAGAGTAAAGCACACTTATATGTGTAGGTAGGTCTAGACGTTATATGAATGAAATTAATTGAAATATTTTTAAAGAAAATATTTAACTTTTTATTACATATGTATAACTATCGATAGTACATTCGATTTTTGATTTTTTTCACTAGCGTTAGTATGCATCGACATATAATAACTCTTATAGAATTATTTCCATTTCACAATCTGTGACATTTATTATAAATATATTAAATATCTCTTTTATGGCTGTCTCTGTGGCACCATCGACAGCTTCGTTGGCTTTTTAACTATAGAAAATATTGATTTTTCCGTATATCGATAATTTTGTTGCGCGTCCACTATTACTATTTGCTTAATTTTATCTACGGGTCATGAAGGTGAGTATAAAGCGAATCGGTCGAGGTCGGCTTAATGAGACTTTCTAAATTCAAAAAGAAAAGTAGCATAAATATTTTTTTCATAAAATCAACTGTTTAACAAAAACTCATCAGGAAACACTTCATGGAAAAATGCATTAAAAGAAATAAAAAACTTCCGTTGAAATTGCTATTTTGATAAACAGTTCTTAACAAAAACGTTTGATGAATGAACGTTCATCCCGAAGAAAGAGCAGTCACTATAGTAGACATACGAGAGAATAACACTCCAATTCTACAAAATGCTTTTTTTTTATTTATTTACATAGCATTTATTCATGCGTTGAATGAAAAATTCTACGCTACACTTAAGCATTGTCTTCTCATGGTCACCATTAATTTTTATTTGCAAATCTTCACAATGACACTGCGTGTTTTCGCAAAATAAACAAAACTATGTAGATGCAGCTACTAAGTCTCAGCAATAAAAAAATTCGTACGATCTTTGCACAGTGTTAGATAGTTGTGGTGAAAGGACAGTTAGTTTTGCTCGAATAACACAGCAGGATCTTCAAGATCAGGTTATTGCAATGATTTCTACAGAAATTCGCACAGTTTATGCAAAAACTTGAACAAAACGTGGGGTAGGCTAAGATTTGCATGGCGAACGGGTACAGTGACTGCAAAAAGTGTATAGCCATTATGTGGAGTGGAACTCTATAGCATTTTCCAACAAATGACAGCAAAACAGCTGCGTTCTTATTGCACAGATGTTAGAATTTTTCTTAGAAACACCACAACAACAAAGTTTTAGCATAGAAAATTTTTATGTATGTTTGAGGAATACGCCTGGCGTGACAAGGTCACGGTCACCCGATATCCTACAGGCAGCGATATTGACATATTGCCTCGCTGCCAAGTTGTTGTGCACAAATTATTTAGTCGGTTGTTTGATTGTTGTAGTTAGTCGTTTGTTTGCTGCTCGGTTGGTTATAACACGCTTACCTTTAAGTGACTACGACTTTATATGTAAGTATAGAAATGTGCTCATAAGTGACAAAAACACGCACTTCAATCATGCACTCTTGCCGTTTGCGCACCGCAACCTACGCAAGGGACATCAGCAGAAGCAGGTGGTTCCTGTTGCTTGGCGCACAGCCATAATCAAAGAATCTCTACTCAAATGAGAATGAACAAAGGAAAAAATAACTGAATAGTAAAAAAAAAGTACTAGAGCAAAGCAATACACACATACACGAACACCCACTTCTTGTCTATCCTTGAAAGGTAAAATGAAAATCAAATTGAAATCTAATTTTATAGCAGCAACCGGTGTTGTCTTCTACTTGTAAGATGGCTCGCCGCTGCCGCCCTGCTTGACTGCTTGACACAACGCGCCACGGCGCACACTGCGTTCGTGTCAAAGGACTGCAAGAACAGTGGCAGCTGCTTGGCAAGATTCATAGTATACAACTACAACAACTAAAGCTGAAAATAAGACTGTAATCGTTTAGGATATGGCAAGTAAATAAAGGATATTACTGTGCGGCCAGTGTATAGGTCAAGTGAAAATAAAAGCGGCAAATACTTGGAATCAACATTTGCTTTTGAGCGACATGGCGAGGTGTTTAATGGTTTGTTTATTGACTTGAGGATTAAATAGCAATCACGTTATGGGCGTTTAGAGGCATTTACTGCTGATTTTGGTCGAATGCTTTGTATGTACACATAATATCTTGGTTTTGCACTTATCAACGTCAGACAGTTTTATAGCCTCTAAATCAATTTATAGTTGAAAATGAAGCAACAGCGGTGTAGTGTGCTCAGCGGCAAAATTAAAAGCCAATTTGTTGCCATGCTAAATCTAATTTTCAAATTGAAAAAATTTTCTCGAAACATTATTTGAGGTTATGTATTGTAGTTTCAGGAACTCAAAACACTTTATCACGAGGCGTTAAGAGAGCAGTTTTAAAACTGTAACCAAGTATTATTTAATTTAGGTTTCGTTAGTTTAGCATAGACTTTCAAAGACATTGTAAACTGGTTTTGATTTTCTAAAAGAAAATTTAAAATTTTTCGCTTTTGAAATTAAATAATTAATTGGGAATATATCGGTACTATTTCTAATGCCAAATAAATCGATCGGATTTCAATAAGCATTAGTTCTCTGTATTATTTTCGAAATAATTTTTTGTTTATATTACATATACATTTGAATAAATATAGAATGAAAGGTGGTTAGGCCACACTAATGAGAATAACATTGTGCTTGCTTAGGAATGTAAATTTATTTACTCAAACTTAGCGAGCAAAAAGTGTTGAATCGAACGCGCTTGAAATCTTATTCATATACATATATGTGAAGTATTCGTCTTTCAATTTTATTTTGAAGTTTCGAACTAAATGAATGGCATAAACTATACGAAATTCAGAAGCACGACATGAGCAAGAATGAGAACAGTAAATCTTTTCGAAGAAAGAGAGTTAAAATATTTGCTTAAACCTTGCG